CAGAACAGTGTAGTTAAGTTGCCGTCTGATTAACGGTTTAAGAGAGCATGTCTGAGAATACCAAAGTATGTGTGCAAGTGGATCTCTCCGATTTCGCTCAAAATTTGCAGGTAGGTTGCCTTTGGGGTGTGGATCGACTGTGCAAAGCCCTTGAAAAGGTTTCTGAAGGGAACCTTGAAATTTGCATACCCCTCAAAAATGGCCGAAATATCACATTATTTATGGGTCTAGAAACGAGTCACGCCACAGCGTATACGAACAAGCTATGAACAAAACTCCATCAAGCCAACATTGCCTCACCTTAGAAGAGTTCCTGGAGCAGTACCGCTTAGCCACGCCAGCATCCCAGAAGACGAGGTCCATCACCCCCTGACGCCACAAATGATCGTCTTGAAAATAGCCAATTTACAAGCGCTGGCAAAACAGCCAGCTACGTCCTCGATTGGCCAGAACTATACACCGGCAGATAGTAGAACACCTCTTCTAGCGCTGAGGACATGTCTCCCATCTTCCTTTTGGGGTTTTATTGAAATAAACTTTTTTGAATTTTTCCACTCGACCATGCTGAAATACGGCCAAAGTCATACCTGCGCAGGAAAGCTCGCCCCTCCGCGACGTCTCCTCAGCAATTTCTACTCCAACACTACTCCCAAGCTTTGTGCGACTGTTGATGCAAAAGTGACTGAAGGCCTGAGCGCAGTTTTTGAATTTTATTGCAAGATGCACGGTGAGATCGCGTGCTCTGTGACGTAGGATGACGCTTCCTGCATCACGATACGCGGCCAACGATCGTGAAAGTGCCCGGAACGCTACTCGGAACAGACCATGATGGCAGAGGTAAGATGAGCTTCATGTCCTGCTTGAACTGCTGAGTACCCCAACAAACTGTCCTAGGAGTGTTGCAATGGCAGCAAGCCGTTGAAATATGCCCCGTACAGCATGGAGAGTTATTCGTCTTTCACACTTACCTCCTGCAATCCCGAATATAGTCCAACAGTAAAAGTCCCTTGTTTTCATGTCGATGCTCGACAAAAGCGGCTAGCTCGGTCCCTGTGTTGACTGGCACGCGAGTAGCACTGACTGCACGCACTTGTCGCGTGAACTGCATGTGAGATTTCTTACGTCATAAAGAATGTGATTTCATCATCATTTCACTGGTCTTCGACCTACATGGTCAGGGAAAGTCCCGGTTCGTAGGCCTACAACACTCCCAGCGTGTTCTTGAGCGCAGTAACAACACAAGTGGGATGACTTCCAGACCAACGGGCGTTCAAGGCGAGTAACAAGCCCACTTGACGAAGGTGACTCTGAAATCTCGTGAGCCGTGGGCCACGCGACTTGGCATTCTTGCGTCACAAGGCACGTGATTTCACCGTGCATCTTGCAATAAAATTCAAAAACTGCGCTCAGGCCTTCAGTCACTTTTGCATCAACAGTCGCACAAAAAATTATTGGTGGCGCAAGGAGAAGCTTGTCGTTTGGAGTGACAAGTGATCACCGCTGCTTTTCCTTGTCAGAGTCAAAACTACACTTTGTTCTGCGGCCTTGGGAGTAGTGTTGGAGTAGAAATTGCTGAGGAGACGTCGCGACGGGGCGAGCTTTCCTGCGCAGGTATGACTTTGGCCGTATTTCAGCATGGTCGAGTGGAAAAATTCAAAAATGTTTATTTCAAGAAAACCCCAAAAGGAAGATGGGGGACATGTCCTCAGCGCTAGAAGAGGTGTTCTACTATCTGCCGGTGTATAGTTCTGGCCAATTGAGGACGTAGCTGGCTGTTTTGCCAGCGCTTGTAAATTGGCTATTTTCAAGACGATCATTTGTGGCGTCAGGGGGTGATGGACCTCGTCTTCTGGGATGCTGGCGTGGCTAAGCGGTACTGCTTCAGGAACTCTTCTAAGGTGAGGCAATGTTAGCTTGATGGAGTTTTGCTCATAGCTTGTTCGTATACGCTGTGGCGTGACTCGTTTCTAGACCCATAAATAATGTGATATTTCGGCCATTTTTGAGGGGTATGCAAATTTCAAGGTTCCCTTCAGAAACTTTTTCAAGGGCTTTGCACAGTCGATCCACACCCCAAAGGCAACCTACCTGCAAATTTTGAGCGAAATCGGAGAGATCCACTTGCACACATACTTTGGTATTCTCAGACATGCTCTCTTAACCCTTTGGAGTCCGTAACTTTTTTGTTTCCGCAGGATTTGTGGCAGTCACGAAAATGCGCACTCCATTTCCAACATAACTTTGGTTCTACTTCACCGATTGTGAAGATCTTGGGCTCGTTGGAAAGCTCTTGATGAGAGAAATACAAGAGCACTATTCAATGTCCGCCACAACGCGCCGCAAACGCGAGTCTAGCTCCAGATCTGAGACGAAGTCGGTCTCATGTAGCCATTTTACTGAATCTAGCTCAGAACTGTTCAATAGACCAATCCCGAAAAGATTGTCTGGGTTCGAAAGAGGGCATGTCAACTGAGAGTACACTGTACAACACATACATGACACTACCTGATCAGCATGCGGCACAAGACGTGTTTGATAGTTCGTGTGTGAATGCCAGGGTAAGTACACGATTTTCTCGTTAGTTCCATGCAAGAGAGACGATGCGACAGAAAGCGAAGCCCTTTGTAGTTTTCTCTCTCGCACTGGTAATGGTCTGCTGTTGGAGTAGAAATGCTAAGACATCATCCTTGTTTCGCTCTTCGGTGTAGTGTGAAGAGGTCAAAGAGCTCACTTTGATGAAGTAGGCAAGGCTGTGAGTGCTGTGGCTCAAAGCGATAGGCCCTAAATCTTACGAGATATTTCGAGTGCTATTGTTTGTTGCGAGCGCTTCGAGCGCTTCGTCTTCGATGAGTCCTGCCTCTTTCCTGGCAGCTGCCCTCCCATAGGACCAACCACGAAGTGACTGTACTCATCTGTGCATCCACGCCCGCACCTGCCCTGTGCTCGCCCAGCTTCTGACCCCCGCACAAGGCACCCCTATCCGCCATCAGCAGTCAAATGGCCTACTAAGCCAGGCAAACCGTAGCCGCCGCGGTCAGCGGAGATTTTCTGTTGCTGGTGCTCTGCTGTGGAACGCTCTACCTGGTGAGGTCCGCACAATTACCCGGCTACCTGAGTTTAAGCATGCATGTGTACCATACGCCTGTAGGGAGTAGTTCGAATTGCTTCTGATCGCTCTGCTCTCCCTCCCCGTGCAGTTCAGTAACCCGCACGTAGTATCACAGATACATCGTATTCTCTCTCTCCCCCCGTTTACCCGCAGTTATTAGTATCCTATTCTCGTACTATGTGCTTCCATAGCTTTTACTATGTTCTTCTTTAGCCACTTCTACTTCTAGGCTAAGCCTTCGCCGTCATTTTATTGGGTCGTCATCCCGTTTGAATGTGCGAAGTGAAATAAAAACCAACCAACCAGCCGATCAATGTTATATTGCACAAGAAGATATCGTTTTCGCCAAGCCAGTGCCCCGCCAAAGACCATCGCCGTGTCACACCGTCGGAACGAGTTCATGATGAGAAACATCATTCGCGCTAGCGTGATGAAAAACTATTTCGAAACATAGTCTTTACCCCGGGACGACAACTATGTGTACGTCCTGCAAGGGGAGAATATCACCAGCGACATCAATGAAGACGACGGCAGTATTTGGGAACCTGGAGTCAGCGGAGGTCGTCAAGCTCCTCCGCGACCCGGTACATGTACAGTATAGGTGACATGTCGACACGAGCGTGCGGAAAACAGCATACCTGTAGTAATGTTGCGAGAGTATGCGGAAGGAGTCCAAGTCGGGAAATCCATCAGCTCCAAAAGCTACCTGTAGGTGGGCGATGAGACTCCAGCTTCAGACTACAACAGCCAGGACTAGTAAATAGTAGAACTTTGTGAAGCAGCAGATCGAGAAGTTAGCTGAAATCGTAGCTGTTGCAGTATGTCGGCGCTATGTAGCTTGCATTTTTTACGGAGAGTCGATCGCCACGCGAATGTTTCTCTCCTCACCGAGAGCTATCTGGCCTCCAAACTCCGTCAGGGTCTGCCTAAAGTACCGAAGGTCCTTTGACTAGCTGCTGGCAGGACTCCATCAAATCCTTTAGCTTCAGCTCGGCGAGCAAAAGTCTCTCTCTCCTCCGCCATGAGCTGACACACACAAACTGAGTACAAAACGATGCACTTCACACGTGCTGGCTTGCACGCGTGCCCGCTTTCACGAGCCCAGACAATCTTTTCGGGATTGGTCTATTTTTTTCCAGTAGAAGATTACCTTGCCGTGACTTCGCGCCGCGCCGGGCCTGGCACGTGCCGCCTGTCACGAAGCTGGGAAAATCCCTTTTTTCACGCACTGCTGACTCGCAGCACACAGCGCAGAAAATTCGAAATGTTTGATCGCTCGCCGCTCACTCAAACCTCATCAAAGAGACTTTGGACCTGTTTGAGGCGATAGCTGAGAGTTTTTTCTGCCATCTAGATCCTTCGATTGTTGAATTTGGTCAAGATTTGGCCAAGAACCGAAAGTTTGACTGCGGCCACATGCATAAAAATGCCCATGGTTCGAAATCGAACCATGGACTTCAAAGTGTTAACCAGTGAAACTCAGAGTTACTGCAGAAACGCTTTTGATTTTTTCTTTTACATGTGTGTACTATAAAGTCATTATTACACACACAACAGAGGCGAACGGCTGTGTTACCTGTAATTAGAGCGGAAGTGCATCGATTTTTCAAGTAGGGCTCAGATGAAAGACAATTGGATAGCGGTTCCGATGGTATATCTCTCGCTTTTTTTTCTTTTCTTTTTTTTTATTGGGAACACAGCCCTACAAAGAGACATGTGGAGACAAACACAAGACAAGACACAGGGGATGTAGGGACGACGTGCCGATGTACAGGGAGCAACTCGACCGACCAGGGGTCTCGGCGTTAGCGTTGCAACCTGGCATCGAAAAAAAGGGGGGGGGTTGCATGGTCAGGTAGCAAAAATAATGATTTGGTGCGAGAAAGGGGCGCTAGTATTGCACCAAATAATATAAATTAATACGTGTAATGACTAAACCAGAAGGGAAAATGAAGAAAGAGGACAATAATCATAACAAGCAAGTAGTAGTAGAGAGGTAAATACTAAATGGGTCTCAAATCTCAATATCATCGTCACAGGTACTGTGTGGACCACAGCCATCTCTTTCGGATCAGATCCTTACATACGTTGACCTTGAAGGTTTGGAGGCGTCTTGAATGAGGCTCGTGAAGCAGGAGGTCCGCAGGCAGGTTGTTCCAGGGTGTGATGGCGAAGAAGGGGAAGGATCGCAGGAGGTAGTCAGGGGCTGTGCGAGGGGGTGTCCACTTCAGCTGAAAGGCATGGTGCGTCTGACGTGTTTGCCGTGTGCACATGCTAGCTACGGCAGGGGGCTTGGTTGGTGGCAGCATGGCCTTTACCTGGGGAGGCCCTGGAATGTAGTGCAGCTTGAACAAGTATGACAGGGCTGCCACCATCCGACGAAGCTGAAGACTTTGGAGGATGGTTCCAGGTCCCAGGAAATGCAGGGCACGTTGCTGAACCTTGTCCAGCTGGGCCATGTTAGTTGCTGCTGCGCTCGACCAGGCCAGTGGGGCATATTCAAGTAGGGGTCGCACGAATCCCTTGTAGACCGTCACTCGACCATGGTCGTCCAGGATGGGTGCTGCCTTTCGTAGGAAACCCAGCCTTTGGGAGGCGCGCAGTGCAACACTGCGAGTGTGCGCTCTGTAGGAGAGAGTAGGGTCGAGCATGACTCCCAGCAGCTTCAGGGTATCTGTCTCCTGGAGTGCTTCACCTCCAAAGGTGACTGGTGGAGTGCAGGGGGGAACGTGCTTGCGATGTAGAGTCATGCGCTGTGTCTTGGCTGGCTCAAAACAGATACGCCACTTGCGGCTCCACTCCTCAAGACTGTTGAGGGACCCTTGGAGGGAGGCGGTGGACTGTTGGAGATCGTCAGTTGGCTGTACTAAGCTGTAGAGTGTGGTGTCGTCTGCAAAGCTGCTCAGCTGCGTTCCTGGAGTTAAACATTGTTCAATGTCACAGGTGTATAGAAGGAAGAGGCTGGGTCCTAGGATGCTGCCTTGGGGGACACCAGCCTGGATGGGTTGAGCATCTGACCGTCTGGCCTCCAACCACAACGCGGATGTTTCGGTTGGTGAGGTAGTCCTGTAGCCATACAAGCAGGCGTCCGTCGACGCCGGCCTGCTTTGCTTTGTATAGCACTCCTGTGTGCGATACCCGGTCAAACGCACCGGCAATATCCACGGCGAGGACCTGGACACAACCGCCAGTACTTATGGTGTGGACCCATTCATGTTGGAGAGCCGTTAAGATATCTGCGGTTCCTCTACCACGTCGGAATCCAAACTGGCTGTTTGGCAACACCTCATGCTTCTCTAGGTAGTTAACCAGTTGCGTGTTTACAATGCCCTCCATGACTTTCGACATGATCGTTAGCAGTGATATTGGTCGGTAGTTAGATGCCAAAGATCTGGAGGACCGTTTGTGAACTGGGACTACATGGGCAAGTTTCCATGCCCCAGGTTGCACACCGGCTAAGAAGCAGAGGGCGAAGAGCTTTGCCAGTGGGTCTGCAAGTTCAGATGAGCACATCTTGAGCACACGAGCAGAGATGCCATCCGGTCCAGTTGCTTTTGATACAGCCAAGTTCGCCAAGTGCCGTTTGACTGTTGCTGCGCGGAAGTGAATGTGCTTTAGCGTGGCATAGGCAGGTCGTTGCAGGTCAGGCAGGTCAGCAGCACAGAGGTCGTTATTGCCAAGGCTACACTTGTTCGCAAAATGCGCTGCAAAGCACTCGGCTTTCTCACGAGAAGAGTGGAACTCTTGTCCTGCAGGGTTGGTCAGCAGGGGGATGTCAGAGCAACGTCCCTCGCCTGCTGCGCTCTTGATGGTTGACCACCACTCTTTGTCCCGGAGGGAACCTGCAGTAAGCTAGTTGCGAATTCTACGTTGATGTGCTAATCGCGCTGCATGACACGCTTCCACTTCGTGGTTAACAGTTGTGATGTACTGGACCTTGTGGTTATCGTTGCGGGGATTGCGTCGCCACAGCTTCCATGCCCGCTCCTTGGCATGATTGGCGTTAGAACAGTCCGGTGTCCACCATACAGGGTTGGATTGGTGCACCACAAGCTCTTTGGATGGTATGAACTGTTTCATTCCATGCATGATGACATCTTGCGTACGGCAAGGGAAACTTGCCATATCGCCGATTTCCTAATCCCGTTTCCATGGCGACTACAGGTGATGACGCACATTCTGCTTAGCTCCGTGAGAGAGAAGGTCGATCACTGAAGAATTGTGTCATTTTCAGTTGTCTTCTTGTATTCACGAAGTGAAAGAAGTACTGTGTTCAAGGCTGTTAGTGCCGTGAACTGTTTATTAGTAGTCCTCTCCGTTGTGTACTGGGACGTGACACCGACAGGGGAAAGCTGGAGTGCGGAGACGTTAGCTGGCAAGCGAAAATCGTGATAAGGTGATAACGCGAGTGCTGACAGGATAGGGAAAGGTGCAAGATACAGAGCTAGAGGGCAGATAATGTTAGCGCTAACAGGGAACTGTTACACCATCCCTCCCTCCAAAGCGAGGCACAGGTGCCTCCAGGGAGTCGAGGAATATGTGGAAAGGGAATAATCAAATGAAATCGTGTCAACCCAACAACGCTCATCTAATTGAAGCACCGTGCAAGGTAACCAAGGACAGTCAGGCGAGTGAAGATAGCGGAAATGGGGAAAATCTAAAACAGGAGGGGAATGGATTGCTTAACACAAGGATCAAGTGGGAATTCTCAAGGTACACGTGCAATTGAATTTGAGCGAGTAACATTTCGCGGTAACCATAGTGTCACTGACATGCCCTGGACGCCCTGTAACGCCTCAGAGTAACTATCGGCCTACCGGCCTCGCCCAGCAAGTTCCCTTCTGGCTCCCAGGTGGCTTCGTCGTCTGGGTGCCCTTGCCACTTGACTAGGTACTGAGTCTGATGCCTTCGCTGGGGATCGTCAAGAATCTTCTCCACCATGTATCTGGTCTGACCGTGCAAGTCAATGAACGGTGGCGGGGGTAGCTGCCGCCTGCCGGGAATAGTATTCTGCTCATACCGGCGGAGAGCAGTGACATTGAAGACAGGGTGGAACCGAATAGCGCTGGGTAGATCCAGCTGATAGGCGTTGGGTCCGATCTTCTTGATGATTGGGTAGGGTCCGAACCACTTAGGGCGTAGCTTCTGTGAAGGCTGGTCCCGGGCTTCTGCGGTTGTTAGGAAATCCTTGTACACCAGCACCATGTCGCCAACCTTCAGGTTGCTGGGCACCCTTCCCCTGTCTGCATACTGAGCTTGTCTAGCCTGAGCGGCAATCATGGCGTCCTTTGCCAACTTGACGGCATCCGCCCGATCCTGGATCCAGTCTGGGGCACTCCCTCCTCCCCTTTGTGCCAGGAAATCTGGTGGGGACGTGGGATTAAGTCCATAATTTAGATAAAACGGCGTGCTAGAAGTGGAAGACTGATATGAACTATTAATTGCAAATTCGCAAAGAGGCAGAAGCGTGTCCCAATTAGCTTGTTTGTGGTTAACAAACGCTCTAAGCACATCCTCAATTACTCTATTCATTCTCTCAGTCTGCCCATCGGTCTGTGGGTGATTGGCAGTACTAAACGACAAGGTGGTACCTAATTGATGAAACAATTCCCGGAAAAATTAGGAAGTAAATCTTGGGTCCCGATCACAAACAATAGTGGAACTCAAACCGTGTAATCTAAACACATTCTGGAGATACAAATCAGCAGAACCCGTAGCGTCAATTTTGGAAGTCGTGGGGACTAAATGGACACATTTTGTAAGCCGGTCAACAAATGTATAAATTGCATCAAAGCCCTGAGGGGTCTGGGGTAAGCCAACGAAAAAGTCCATGGAAATATCTTTCCAGGGGGTGTCTGGTACTGGGAGCGATTGCAGCAAACCGGATCTAGGCAACCCACCCTTAGTGCGCTGACATATGCCGCAAGATTTAACAAATTTCTTCACGTCAAGGCCCATAATGGGCCAATAGAAGAATTGACGAAGCCGGAAATATGTACGATCCCGTCCATGATGGCCTGCTGTAACACAGTCGTGGTACTCCTGCAGGAACTGAAGCCTTACTGCACACTTGGGTACACACAAGCGATTGTTTGGGGCTGCACGGAGGTATAGGTACCTGGACTCTTCATCCCAATAGTACCGCTCGTGTAGATTATCAGAGGAATCGCCGCGCAGCCGCTGAGATATTGGGGAAAGCTGCTCGTCATTCTGATATGCTTCCGAAATCATCTCAGCAACACTATCACTCAGTTCCAAAGCAAACTCAATCGTATTCAAATGGGGTGCTGGTAGGACGGGTGGGCAATCCTTTTCCTCAACTACATTGCCAATTGCTGACCCGCGCAGATCAGGGTGGCGGGATAACGCATCAGCCATATTTTCCTTGCCGGGTTTGAGATTAACTGTGAAGTCATAGTCTGCAAGAAATTCAACCCATCTAGCTTCGCGCTTAGTGAGACTGGCTTTTGTGCTCAAGTAGACTACGGCCATGCTGTCACTGAACACAAAATGCTGGAATAGATAAATTCTCCAGGATCGCAGTGCAAACACCACTGCAAGGGTTTCGCGTTCTGCAGCAGTGTAACTTCGCTCCGCTTGTGACAGCTTACGACTGGGCATATGCCACAGGATGCCAAGCACTATCGCTTTCCCCCTGTTGGAGAAGGACGCCTGCTATTGCAAAATCACTTGCGTCTGTTGCAACTCTGAAAGGCTTCTGCACGCTTGCTAGTTTCAACAGCGGTGCACTCAACAAGGCCTGTCTCAGGGATTCGAATGAATGCTGACGGGGGCCACTCCATTCGAACCTGGCATGTTTGCCAGTGATCTCCTCTAATGGCCGCGATATAGTAGAGTAGTGTTCAATAAATCTTCTAAAGTAGTTCGCAAAACCAAGGAACTGTCTCACCTCCGTAACTGTCGTCGGTGGCTGCCATTCCCTCACTGCTTTATGCTTCTTTGGATCTGGAGCGATACATTCACCGTCGATGCGATGCCCTAGAAACAGAACATCCTTGACACCAAACTCACATTTCGACTGCTTACAGAATAGCCTATTTTTCCGGAGCGTCTCAAGAACTGTCTTGATATGTTCAAGATGATCTTGCCAGGATTTGCTGAAGATAAGAATATCATCCAGAAACACTACCACAAACCGCCGTAAGTACGGTTGGAGAATACTGTTCATCAGTGACTGAAACGAGGCAGGGGCGATAGTTAATCCAAAGCCCATGACCCGGAACTGCAAATGACCGAAGGGAGTATTGATAGCCGTCTTAGGTACATCTTCCTGACGGATCCTAAGCTGATTGTATCCCGAGCGTAAATCCAGCTTACTGAAGTATGAGCTACCTTGAATGGTATCAAACAGGTCATCAATGTTTGGGAGGCAAGCTGTGTTTTTGATGGTGATCCTGTTGAAATTCCGCCAATCACAAACCATGCGCAATGAGCCATCAGACCTTTTAACGAAAAAGACTGGGGCACCGTATGGTGATTTGCTGGGTTCGATGAAGCCCTTGCGGAGGAGTTCCGTGAGCTGGGCTTGCAATTCGTCCATTTCGGGTTTGGGGAGACGGTAGGCAGCTCGTGACGGAGGAACGGCACCCTCCTCAGTCACAATCTCATGGTAGACATCCCTCTCTGGCGGAACCTCGGTCGGCAGGTCGTCTGGAAAGATGTCCGAGTACCGCCGTAGAAGGTTAGCCAGCTGCTCTTGATGATCTGGGTGTTATCTGGCGGCAAGAGTACAAAAGTACAAAAGTACAAGAGGTCATGAGCTCGACATCGACGCTCTTTGCTGTCATGGTGAAAAGCCTACCGTGATTGGTCCGAATCCCGCTCCATCACGTGCAAGCAGTAAAAATCGGCCGGCTTTTCGGCTAAATATCGACCAGTCGATACTTGGCCGAAAACTAGTGCGACAAGAAAATCGCCGCAGATTTGTCGGAACCCTGTACGACAACACAGTTCACACTACGCAATTTTCGCCCCGATCTTGAGGATTTTTCGTACGAGTCCATGTCGGCCGGAAAATCGGCCTAGTGTGAACCAGGCTTTACACTTACAGGTGGCAACCCTGTTTACGTGTCCCATGATCTCACTCGTGCTGAACAATCTACACGAAAATTCAAATGACGTCTGGCCTACATTTCGGAAACTGCGACAGAATGGCATCCGATGCACTCTGCCTAGATGCGTGATCATGTTGATGGGCAAAGCCATGACAGACGAAGAAATCGCCATGCATCTCTCAAATACCACCTAGGGGTGCGAAAGTGGAACGGCAGCTGCTGGCATGGACTCCAGTCAATCCGATACCCCGACAACGCTCTGGCATTCTAAATTAAATATTTGTCAGATAAATATATTATGTAGTATCAGGAACAAATTATTGTATATCATCATCATCGTCATCATCTGCCTTGCCGAAAAAAAATAATAAAAGTAAAATTTTAAAAATAATAACGAGAGAGCTTGGAAGCTCAGGGCCCTACGCTATGCTTTTTTTGCCTTGATGACCTAGACAAAAAAAACAAAGGGATGTTATAAATTCTTTTAAAAAATCCTTTTTTTTAAGACATAACCTGGGATTCTAAACCGCACTATCGCGCGCCCTGCATGCATCCCCCGATACACTTCGCATACATTTGTTTGTTTGTGTCACGCCTGGCGCTATCCGTATCTACCGGCAAAAACAGCATAGGATGTTATAAATTTTTCAATTCTCCTATTTTTTCAGGCAGATCCTGGGATTCGAACCCGCACTATCGCCCTACATGCATTCCCCCATACACTTCGCATTCATACCCATTCTTCCAAGTTGTTTCACATCAGTCGATGCGCCAAGTTTGAAAAATCTGCAGAAAGGGTCCTCATTTTATTTGCAACCGCGGGAAATTTGAAGGGCATTTTGGTGGTGTTCTCAATTTTGCTGAAGGATTTAGACAACTGGTTGTGGAGACATTGTGGTCAAACACTGAGATATCGATTGCTTTTGCGCAGTTCCAGTGCTTCGAGGGTGAGTGGAGAGCTAATCAAGCGGATTTTTGAACAGGTCTCCAAACCATAGCCAGCAATCGCATGTCATCTCGTACATTGAAAATCAACATAATTTTGCGAATCAACCTTTTTTTCAGGATCACTTTTCAACGAGGACGAAGCAAAGTCGGCCGAACGAAGCCTTATTATTATTATGCACTTACGCGTCAATGTCAGCGGTAGTAAACCGCCCACAAATTCGCACGTGCTGAATGGACTTGGGAATTGGGAAATGAAAAAATAAAAATAAAAAGAGCAACGACAACAAAAATAGAAATACAATACAAGACGTACCTGCTAAGGGGCACATGACAGCATTGCTCAGATTGAACAGAGGACGCAGACACAGGATAAAGGGCATTGTCCACTCCGTTTTGAGAATAATCCAGTAAAATGGTGGCAGGTGGATGCAGATCCACGCACTACGTTAAGAGAGGAATTTTGTTGGTATTTAAAAAAGATGTTAATTATTATTACTGCAGCAGTTATGAAAAGCAGTACTGTGATATTTCGGAGCAATATTATTTGGTTTTAGTCGTAGACGCCACTATTGGACTTGCAGACGTCCTTGCAAAGGTCCTTCCACTCTCCTCTGCCCTGTGCAATCTCCCGGAGGGAGAGGAGATCAGACAACGTCTTGAGTCACCTTTAAAAAAGATGTTAATTATTATTACTGCAGCAGTTATGAAAAGCAGTACTGTGATATTTCGGAGCAATATTATTTGGTTTTAGTCGTAGACGCCAATATTGGACTTGCAGACGTCCTTGCAAAGGTCCTTCCACTCCCCTCTGCCCTGTGCAATCTCCCGGAGGGAGAGGAGATCAGACAACGTCTTGAGTCACCTCCGCCCCACTCTCTGCAGGTCACGGGATAGCACGATAGGCAGAGTCGTTCTTGGCCGTCCCCTCCACACTGTTTCCTTCACCTGGTAATAGTTAATCATAGCCGCCACAGCAGGACATCCGTCAGGCATGCGCAGTATATGGCCAAAGAGTCTCCATCTGGCTAGGCGAACAAAGTTAGATATCGGTTGTGCTTTGCACCTCTTGTAGAGAGCAGCATTGCTTATTGTTTGTGGCCACCTAATACCGATGAGACTACGCAACTGCCTGCGGTGAAACGAATCCAGTTGGGCCTCGGCCACTGAAGTGGGTGCCCAGGTGCCGCTGTTGTACAGTAAGACTGGCATCACGAATGCGTTGTACAGCCTCAGTCTCAATTCCTCACGCACTAATGTTCTCCGCTTCCAAAGACTGTACATTGCTCTGTAGGACGCTGTGGCGAGCTGTTTTCGCCTGGTGATGTCTTCGTCGTCACCAATCAGAGAACCTAACTTTTTCGTCATTCTCCATTCTTCCGAGACTCGATCCTGCTGCCGGGTGAGTTTTGTGTGTTCGGTCTTCTCTGCGTTGACATGGAGATTCCATTGCCCGAGAACTGTTGCGGCAAGAGGTTCAAGCTGAGCTAGCCAAGCAGATGAGGTACTGACAATATCGGTGTCGTCCGCGTAGATGATGTCGATTGGTAGAGTGCTATCTGCAGGAGAGCGAGG